TGTTTTAGAATAATTTGCATGTGATAAAACATTCTGTACAGTTTTCGTGCTTTTCCCTTTACATTGTACCAATTATGTATATACACTACTACACTCGACGTATTAAGTTTATATCTCATACTGAAGAGATGTTTTATTGGATAAGTTAGCTATTACTTAAAACTGGGCCAATGCTCTAACCCAGGAGTACAAGCGGTCTCCGTCTATGTTTACTTATAAAGTATTCCTCCATAAGTATGATCACCATACTACATTATGATACGTAGAAAGAAGCCTTATTAGCCAGAGGTCTACGTAGAAAAACGCCTTATTAGCCAGAGGTCTACGTAGAAAGACGCCTTATTAGCCAGAGGTCTACGTAGAAAGACGCCTTATTAGCCAGAGGTCTACGTAGAAAGACGCCTTATTAGTCAGAGGTCTACGTAGAAAGACGCCTTATTAGCCAGAGGTCTACGTAGAAAGACGCCTTATTAGCCAGAGGTCTACGTAGAAAGACGCCTTATTAGCCAGAGGTCTCAAGTTCAAGTCTCTCTCACGGAGTCTCTTTTCACTTAAAATGTCTAATATTAATTGATACGATATAACAATATTACTATTTTATTATTTCCTCCAAACTAGTAAAGGCAATTCTATATTTACTCATACATTATTATTACTAAACCGAAATAAAAAGTTCGAGACGCTATTAGGATTTCACAGTGCTTGTACCCAGCTTGCTCCAAAAGCTTGGACACAAAATAGATGTATATTTATACTAAACGTCACATAACCTTGACACGGTAGATGATGTAACTCATAACTACGCAAGCTGTCTTCACCAACTGTAGGTTTTAAGTTACACATCACTCCAGCATTCGAAACAGTTTAAAGGTCTCACAGAAAGACAAATATGCCCATCAGAATCTATAGACATACAAGTTCAAGTCTTCCTACGTGATGGTCTGAAAATATGAAAAAATTCGTGAGACACCACCTAGTTCTATATATATATATATATATATATATATATATATAT